TTTTTGTCTTTTTGAGACAGGGTCTTGCTATGCAGTTCAGGCAGGCCTTGAGCTGAATTTGTAGTCCAGGCTGGTCTTGAACTCTCAATGATCTCATGCTTCAGCCTCCCGAGTGCTGGAATTAGAGCTGTGTGCCACCACGCCCGGCCAGTGTTCAGATTTATATTGAGCACTCACTAAAATACCAGTAATCCGATCAGCAGTGTCCCAGGCATCTCCAGAGAGTCCTCCATGGAGCAGCTCACAGCGCCTCTGCCTGCACCCAGACATCCCAGTGTGACTCACCACAACACTTCAAAGTGAGGTGCAATCTCCCCCAACACAGAAGATAAGGAACTTCAAAGATGCCCTAAGACACGAGCATTCAGTTCCTGGCATTGGAAAGCCCTTATGACCACACACGCTGCCAGAGAGTTATCTGTGGGGTAATCTCTCACACCTAGGGAAAGAAAGGAAAGAGAGAGGCCGCAAAGGTTCATAAGCTTCCACATCCTCTCAGGAATCCTGGACATTTCTTTGGCTGCTTGGTACAGGAAAAACAATGCGCAAACCTGCTAGTTATTTTTGAGTCTCAGAAAAATAGTAATCATCATCATTTAAAAAAAACAAAGATGGTGTAAGCTTAAGGTCGCTCTGATAAAACCTCAGCAGCGCTTGCTGCCACTGAAGAGCATCGGTCCCTCTGCGCCACCGAGACTAGCCGTGCCAGACACAGAGCTCCTATCTCAGGAGCCCCGCTGCTCTCGGGGGCCAGGTGCGGATGGGAAGCCTAAGCTATCTCGGCGCTGGCTTCCTATCTCCTGTGGATAAACGAGGCTCCAGACCTGGCTATCAGGCCAGCGCCCTTCACGCGGGCCCATCTAACTGCAAGTCGGGGTCTGCATTCCTCCCTCAAGTGGCACTTCCTCTGAAGTCAATGGCTCCCCTTCAAGCAGGACAGTGACAGTATCCCTGAGGCCTGCGCTGCTCCCTGGCACATATCTTTGCCAGACTAGATGTCGCCCTACAAACCAGGAAGGAGTTGCCGCCTAGGCAACCAGCCTTTGCAGGCAGAAGGTGGAGGGGCGGCGGCTACAAAGACGCTATGTTCCTAGTTTAGCTGTGCACCTAAGAGAGGCCACCACTCCTGCCTGAGATGCGAGCATGCGGGAGGGGCTGCGAAGCTGGCGGGAAGAACTGCACCTGGGGGCCAGTGGGCGCCCCAATTCTGTGCCACGAGAGCTGTGAAATCAAGTGACAGTGCTCCCTGGGCAGCCTTCTCATGACTCAGCTGCTGCCCGGAGGACACGACTTTAGGCTACAGATTTTCCCTTTCCTGGCCTCTGTGGTCTTTACGTGACAATTTCCAACATGCATTCACCCACACTTTCTCAACAGATTCTTATTCCAAAAGAGATCGCCACGGGAAGGTCATCATGTCCATGTCTAAGGCATTGATGAGGGCCGGCTACCCTGAGAGCTGGGGGCCACCCCGCTCCGGGGCTTTGTTCTTGCCTCTGCGCCACGTGGGACTGCACTGATGGCTCCGCACTTCGCCTTGAGCCAGTTTAGCTGTGACAGTGCACAGTGGTTGCTTTAAGGTGCAGAGCTGGGTGGTCAGGACACCCACAGGGAACAGGGAGAAGGAAAGAGGCAAACATTTATTGGGGACTCAGTTTTGATCTGTTTTGTATTTTAAACCATGTCAACTTATTGCCTATTCAGAAAATTTAAGTTAAAAATTTTAAAACAGACCATACAAGTTTATAGCACACAGAGGAAGCATGAAGGAGATGTGTGTGAGACTTTATAGGGGGAAACACGGACAAAGAAAGGGCTTCAGGAATGGAGAGAAATAATACACACCAAAGGAAAGCTTTTCCATTCATTTAGGATTTATTGTAGCCACCCCGCACCCTCTTGCCCACCTCAGCCCCTCAGCCCTCACCCAAAAAGCGGTACTGTCATCTTGTGCTTTGTTTTTACTTGTTTTATTTTTTTAAGTGCCAGTTTGGGATGCTGAGCATAATTTGTTTAACAATTGAACAAAAATCAGTTTAGTCCAAGATTTTACAGCTTTTTAGCCTAAGAGACACACTACTTATTCACCTTTGTGTCCACAATCCCCAGTAGTTGGGGCAGAGTAGGCAAACATGGAAGGAGAAGCAGACAAGGGGTAATGGAGGGAGATAGCCCAGGAGGAAAGATGATAAGCAAGGGCTAGAGGACTCCACCCTGCCCTCCTCCTTATCCTCATCATAAAATGTGTCGCTGAGACGACAGGTGAAAAGCTGTCCAACATGGCAGTTGATAAAAAACTGATTGCTCCTGATAGGCACCTCAGAAGAGAGGGGATAGGAAAGCACCAAGCTGTGTCTTGCAGGGAAGACTTCATGTCTCAGAAGACATCGTAGCAGTCCCAAGACAAAGTCCTGAAACAGACAGCACAAGTCATTTTTTATTTATGACAGATACCCTGAGGTTGACCAGCAAATGATCCTTGATGTATCTGGCTCCCATTTCAGAATCATGACACTTCAGCAGCTCATTTGTCTTGGCGTGGAGAAGCAGCTCCCTGAGACAGTGTTTGTTTTTCCTTGGAGATAAGGACAGACACAAGCTGGCAACTCACCATCTTCATTTTCATCAGCTTGCTGTTTCACAGGTCTACACCATCAGCTCTGTGAGAAAAATGAAATCAATAAAAATCATCGCCCTCACTGCAGGAGGCTGACACAAGACTTTCCTGCACTGGAACAAGTGTCTATCAGTCAGTACAGGGACGGTGTCTGCTGCATTCATTCAGAAAGTCTTTCTTGCAGCATAAATGGGAAGCCAGGGTGGCTGTGTAGGTGGAGAAGCTGGGCTCTGCTGAGGTGGTATCACTTGGCTTCAGGCAGCCAAGAGTTTGTGGCACCCAACTCAGGAGAGGTCATTAGCTTCCCCTGGTCTCCTAGAGCCAGTGAGAAAAGAGATTCAAGCAACGGCAGAGCCACTGAGTCCCTCCCTGCAGGGAGAAGTCAAGCACTTCGGCCTCAAACACCACTTTGAAAGAAGTTAAACCTTCCGTAAGAGTCCACGGAGTTTCTGCAGGATGGAGTCCAGGTTTTCCAGGCATGTCAGCTTCCATCATCTCTTCCTCAACTCCCTTTATTGGCACTAACACATTTAGCTCCAGCTTTAAGACTACTCAAATTGTGTTTCTCCAAGCCCTGTCTCCCCAGCCCATAATTCCCAAGGCCCCAAGCCTCTTGTGTCTGGCTTGGTCTCACCTTTCTTTTTTCCTTGGGAACCCACCTACCACAATAAAGAGGCTTCTTCTTGGATTGAGGAAGCTACACTGAAAATGAAAATAAAGTTCTTCTCCCAGGCATGGTGTCACATGCCTATAATCCCAGAACTTGGGAGGCTGAGGCAGGAGGATCATTGTGAGTTTGAGACCAGCCTGGGCTACAAAGTGAGCTCAAGGCTAGCCTGAGCTGCTAGTGAGGCCCTGTCTCAAAAAGACAAATAAAAGTAAGGGCCTTCTGTTTTCAGGTTTTTGTTCTGCTTCACTAAAACTCAAAAAGAAACAAATTAATAAATGCAAAAGCCAACACTATAATTTCCCTGCAAAAGACTAAATGTCAAGGGAGCTGTCTTTGCTTCTTTCCTCATTGCTGAGACAAAATACCCCAACATCCACAAGTTAAAGGAGGAACAGCTCACAGTGTGTAAAGATTTCAGTCTCTAATTGGCTGGCTCTAAGGCAGGGCAGCATGGGAGAGGGGCATCACAAAGGAGAAAGAGTTCATGGCAGGCAGAAGGCAGCAAAGCAAGCCAGAAACCTCAGCAGCTTCTTTCTGCCCCTTTTAGACTCTGAATTTATTCCTGAATCCAAGAAGCCTCTTTATCATGGTAGGTGGGTTCCCAAGGAAAGAAGAAAGGTGAGACCCAGCCAGACAAGGGGGCTGGGGGCCTGGCCTACTGGGGTTGCTAAAATCAGTGGACTGACTTAGTAGCAAGCAGTCACACAGCCTTAACCCCAGCGTCACACTCCCTAGATCCAGCCTCCTCTGTCAAAGCCCCACCTGTGACCAAATGAGGCTTTGGGGGGGCATCTAGACACAGCCATAACAGGAGTTCATGACACTCCTGACAGTATTTGTGCGTGAAGTTTTTACCCAGCCAGCTGAATTCAAATTAGCAGGAGCTTCAGCAAGGGCTTTGCTGGTCTGCAGCAGGAAGGAGGCAGCCTCAGCACTGCCAAGTGCACCAGGATACATAAGAAGGGGGCAGGAGAAATCAGGATTTTTGGAGGCCAGCATTTCTTAATAAATGAAAAATCAAATGAAACCTTAGATTTAATTAAAATGTTCCCCATATTCTGGCCCATCCAGTAATTTTATGTTGCTGTCCAAAAGCTATTAGGTAGTTATTTAAATAAAAGAAAGGAAGGGGAAGTATTTTTAATTTTAAAGAATAAGTAGGGGAAAGGAGCTCCACCATAGTTTTCCACATGCTGAGTCCAAACGTAGTGGCCTATTTTTTTCTGGAGTGGATTTTTCTTAGTGACAACTAGCAGCACTTCTCAGTTCCCTCAAGACCTGGCCAATGATGTAACATATCCACTTTATACAGGAAGTAAGCCCCAGCCCTCCCCGTGGGAGAAGGAGAGGCCACCCCAAAGCCAGTGCTGCTCTGCATGGCTTCGAGGCTGCAGCGGACAAGTTTCTCCATTTGGTAATTCCAGCATGAGTTTCTTTTAATAAACTTGGGATGGCCTCATCTGGTCTCATGAGCATTTAATCATGTCATTTCTCTTTGCCAAACACACATACCAAATGGGGGCAAAAACTGCCACAGAATGGGCCACATACCTGGCCAGGGTGGAGTCTCCTGCGGCTCACACAAGCGATTGTTGTCTGGTTTTGACAGGGTTTGGATCTCCAATGGCCCCTAAAGGGCAGTGCTGCCTGCCCGAAGTCCTGTGAGAGAGGAGGTCAGGCCTGACCGGGTGGGGTGGGGTCGGGGAGGTCATGGGGGCGTGGCCTTGAGGGAAGAGTGGAGCCCTGGCCCCTCCCTCTCAGTCTGTACTTCCTTGTAAGGTGAAAGTTGAAAGGTGAAAGATTTCCTCCACCATGTGCTTTCCAGCCACAATGGATTGCCTCATGGCAGGCTCAAAGCAAAATGGCCAAGCCACTATGGGCTGAAATCTCTACATCTATGAACCAGACTAAATCTTGCTTTCTTTTGATTTTTCTGAAGTATTTTGTCACAGCAATGGAAAGCTGACAAACCGAGTATTCAGCATGCAATAGTAATAGTTTGCAGTGCCGTTCTTGTCCCATGGGCTCTTCCTGGTCAGAACATCCACAGGAAGCCCATCCTCTTTCCACCATCTTCCAACCCAGTGTGCATCGTTCCATCAGCCAATCCCCAACCTCCTCATCCCTGTTCCTTTACTGTTCTGTTGCTCTCGATTCCTTCAATCGCTGCTCTCTAATCTAGATGACATCAACCTCCTGACCACCATTCCAACCTTCTCTTCTCCATCTCCTCCCTCTCCTTCTTCTTCTCCCTTGCTTCCTTTTCCTCCTCCTTCTCCCTCTTCTTGAGCCTCCTCTTCCTTTTTCTCTTCTTCCCTCACTTCCCCCTCCTTCTCCTTCCTCTCCTTCTGCTCCTTTCTTCTCCTCTCTTCCTTTTCTCCTCCCCCTCCTTCCTTCTTTATGCTCTTCTTTTATGCCTACTTCCTCTTTCTCTACTTCCCCTTTCATCTTTTCTCTTCTTCTCTTCTGTGTCACTGGCTATCAGACCCAGAGCCTTGCGCCTACTCGGCGAGCTCTCTGGCCCTGAGCTGCATCTCCAGCCCCAGCCATCCTGCCTCTACTACAAACCACTGCTACCAGAATGATGAACCAAGTGGTGCTGGGGCAAAGGCAGTGGAGACCCTGAGGCAGCTCCCCTTTCTCCCCCTAGGGTGCTCAGACAGAATCCAGCCAGACACTCCCGCCCCACTCTCCGGCCTTACCTTACTGACATCAGCTCACAGGTCACAGAGCTGGATGCAGGTCCCTCCCACACAGCCACGCTCCTCATAGGCCCTTGCTCTGCCCCCTGCCTCTTCTGTCCAGGGAGGAATCTGAAGCAGCCCTAGGAATGGAAACATGGAGCCTCGGGAGCCACGTTATTCACCAATCACCCACTTGGCATTACTGAATCCACAGCAGTCCTCTCCTGCCTTCTCCGCCCTTCAGAACTCACTTCAAGGCCATATGACATGAGCATTTAATTATTCACTAAGCTGTACTTATACTTTACACATTCTTCTGTTTAAAGAATGTAGCTTACAACAAAGTTATTGAAACCTGAAAATTAAAAATTAATAAGTCAAGTTCTTCTTCCAGTTCCAGGCACTTGGCAGCTACAATTTACAATGCAGTTATGGGCAAGTCCAAGAATCACACCACGTACAACCAGTCCCAAAAATGGCACAGAAATGGCATCAAGAAACCTTGGTCACAAAGCTACAAATCCCTGAAGGGGGTAGATCTCAAGTTCCTTAGAAACATGCCAAGAAGCACAAGAAGGGCTTCAAAAAGATGCAAGCAAACAGTGCCAAGGCCATTAGTGCACACACCGAGGCTATCAAGACCCTTGTCAAGCCCAAGGAGGTTAAGCCCAAGATCATCCCAAAGGGAGTAAACCGCAGGATTGCTTGACTTGCCTATGTTGCCCACCCCAAGCCTGAGAAGCATATCTGTGCCTACACTGCCAAGGGTCACAGGCCTAGCTGGCCAAAGGCCCAGGCTCCAGCCAAGGCCCAGGCTCCAACTTCTGCTCTGGCCCAGGCCCCCAAGGTGCCCAGGCCCCCGTGAAGGCTCCACAGTAAAAGCCTCTTATCTGCTGATGTAAAAACAGAAGGACTGGTGTGACCCCTGGGGTGCCATCTGGGGGGGGGCTGGTGTCCTCCTGTGCTCTTTGTACAAATAAACCTGAGGAAGGATTTAGAAAAAAAAAAAAAAATTAACAAGTCAATTCAGCCAGCCTCTCCAGGAAGCACCCAGGCAGGCTGGCCTGCCCCCCGCAACTCCTGCAGGGCCTGTGCCTCATGGCAGCAGAGACACCTCCAGGATCCCCAAGCCAGCAGCCGCTCAAGGCTCCGCTCCTCTCTGGAGCAGGGATCCTGGTAACTTTGCTTTGACTCTCCACACCTAGCACCAGGGCCCAGTGCTCCACCGTGGACTCGATATCTGCCGAGCAAGTGAATCAATGCATGGATTGGCTCCCGCGGCTCCACAGCTGCCTCCCAGGGCTGGTCCAGATTTTTCCCTGGATTACTCCTCAACCTCCTGGTCTACCTCAAATACAACATCCTGCATGCCATTGCCCAAATCACTTTTCTGAAACATCATACCCTTGTCTCAAAACTTCAGTCTCACGCCCACTTGATATTATCTAGAGCTCATCCTACAAGTTCCTCGGGTTGGCACTCAGGGCCCTTCACAATTTCATGCCAGCCTTCCTTTGGAAAAGTCCTCCTACCACACATGTTGCTTCCCAGCACAGCTGCCCCAGTGTGACTCTGTCTCCTGGGCTGCATTCGCACCACCCCACATCTGAACAGTCACCACACACATGTGCACGTGTGTGCATGTACGCACACACACCAGAGTGTGGTTCTTTACTCTGTCCACTTTCCTGAGTCATTTTCATTCCTCAGGCACCACGTCTTCTGTGACATCTTCATTAGATGGTCCGCTCTAAAGGACCCCTCCAAACGCCGTTGAGGGTCCCGCTGCTCGCTGTACGCAGTGGTCTCACCTCCCCACATACACTGCAAGTTCATTTGGTTATTTGGACCCAAGTGTGGGTCTCCCATGACCATCTACCAATCACTAAGAGACGAGCTTTGGAACGTGCATTATAGAAAAGTACAGTAGTATGTACAGGTCATACTGAGGAACAATAGTTGCCACTGAAATAAAATAGGACGAAAATTTCAACAACACTTAGAACACAGAGGAAAATGTAAGGAGAATGAGAACATTAATAAATCAACTGTAGTACTGATTTTCCTGTCTTAACAGCAACAACAAAACCTACCAGGCAGAGTGATCCTTTCTGTCCCTCCTGGGTGCTGCTTGGGGGACACCTCTCAGCCCGAGACGGAAGTTATTAATCTCCAATCGTCTGGGTTAAAACCCACCCACAAAAGGACTGAAGCGCCTGACACAGGATGAAATGCTGCTCTATTCCAAGCTGCCCATGGAGCAGCCTGCTGGGCCTTTGTGAAAAGAAGCTTGCCAGGGGACAGAGAGGACACATGAGCACATCTGGAAAGCTCAGAAGTCCCAGATGCCTGTGGACAGGAGCGAGCCTGGACAGTCACCACACAGCCTGACCATCAGCCCAGGCTTTGGTTGAGTGGCTTTTGCAATAAAGTGCATACCATCATCATACGGAACGTTCTAGAAGCCCAAACACATGGCGTAATCACTGCAAGGGCCAAGGCAGTGTGCCCGGCGTCAAGGGATGCAGATGCAAGGGAACAGGAACACTGCAACCCGAGAAAGCGTCAATAACAGTGACGAACGGCCAATAGCTCCAAGAGGGGGACAGAGCTCTGAGTGATCAGGCTGCCAGGCATGGGCAGAGTGACAGCCTTGTGGTGGGTGTGATCTGTCCCTGGCCACAAGGCACCAGGTTGGCTTTGGGAAGGGGTCACCAGTCTGGCACCAGAGTCATGGATCCCCTGTGTGCTGCCTCTAACGCGGGATGTTTCGTGTCTGCAGAGATGGATCAGGAGCCATGGTGCTGACCTGTGTGGAGTGACTTACTGAGGAGCCTGGCTCTAGGGCTCAACAGAAAGTGAGTCTGGACAAGCCCACAGGGAGCTGAAAACCTCGCTAGTCATCCACAGCCACATCTGGCCCCACCGTCTACCAGCATGAGGGCCACCTTAACCTACTGGCATGAGGTCTTCTGAGGGCAGGCAAAGTAGCAGTCATCAGCAACACCCCAGCAGCCAGGGACCATAGCAAGATTTACAGAGGAGGGTGTCAGGCAGGGCTGCGCCCTGAGTGCTGCCTGGCAACCAAACCAACCACATCCTTTCAACTGCATCCCTGGCCCAATCTCACATGACAGAGCAGCCTGCTGAGACACCCCCAGCCTGCAGCGTAACACAAGCCCTGGCTAAAGCCCGCAAGCACTTCAGCTCCCCACAAGGCATCCTTTATGAGCTGAGGATTCCAGCAAGTGGGGACCTTCGTATGTGGCTGTAGAGTGAGAGATTTTTTCCACCAGAGGGATACCTCCCACTTTTTCATGAAAATGCCAGGTGCCACTGGGGCTAAACCTGCTGCTGTTCTGCTTTGCTTTTCAGTTTTGGTGCTGGGAGTTGAAGGGGTTCTCTGTGCCACATCCCCAGAGCTTACTTTTTGTTTTGAGACAGGGTCTCACTAACTAGCTACATTGCCAGCCAGGGCTCTCAAACTTGTGATTCCTCCTGCCCCTGCCTCGCTCAGAGTGCTGGGATTGCAGACGTGCACCACCATGCTTGGCTAGCCCACTTCGCTTCTGCCATAATCGTTCTTCCTGACAGACAAGGCTTCTAGGGCCCCTTCTACAGAGGGAGTCATGAGTCTGCCTGATCCACCCCACATGGGGGTCGGGCTCAGGTGTGGCACGTCAACAAGAGCCCAAGAGAATGGGAACCTGATTCTCAGCAGGGAGGGGCCTGGCTGACTCAGGAGTGTTGGGGTCCAAAACTCCATGGCAACGCTCCCTTTCCCAGCAGCTCCAATCTGCTAGACCATCCATCCCAGGAGATTCCATTGCTGGAAAGGGACCCTGGGACATACGACCTCTATGATACTAGCCCTGCCAGGCACCCCGCACCCTGAGAGAATGAGGCAGGAAGATTCCAAATTCAAGCCCAATCTGGGCAATTTAGCAAAACCCTGTCTCGAGACTAGAAAAGGGTTGAGATGTAGCTCAGTGCAAAGGCTCTGGATTTAATCCCCAGTATTGAAAAAAACAACTGAAAAAGGGATGCTGGCACTTTCCTACACGGGATTCTTTCTGGTTGGGAGAATACACATTGGCACTCGTGGGGCAGAAGTTATGCTGAGGACTGTGCATCTTCAGGTAGACCCTGAAACCCGCCAGCACCTTCGCTGGCAGTGCCCACACACTTCCTCCATATCCCCTTAGTTGGGCCACAAAGGCCCGGCCTCTCCCAGGAAGCGCGTCTCCATCAGTATGGTCTTCACTATGAGAACTGTGTGAAACTGCACGGCTTGAGATGTCGCCCTCTGATGGACTAACAAGGTACTGGGCAGCTTTGTGGAACTCCCGCAGCCTGGACAGCAGCAGACACCATCAGTACTTCCTTCTACTCATGTCCCAGAGAGGCCTGGACAGGCTCCATCACAAAGCAGAGACCTTGAGCTTAGAGAGTGCAAATGTCTTCTCTACGCTCGCTCGGAGAATGCCTTTTCCTCTGCGGGGACACACGGTCTCCCAAGGCCGAATGCAAACTTGACTTACACTCTGGCAGTCGGGGCAGGCGCTCACTTCCCTCCAAGGGCACTCACTTCACAGACATCCCAGCTCTCAGAGCAGCCTGTGGCCAGCAGGGAGAGCCGCGGCCTCACTAGAAAGCATTCAGAAATGAGGCCATCAATGAAGAACTGGCGTGGGGCACACGACTTCTACTGTTTGCACTGAATGGCGATAAAGACGTGTGCTGAAATGAGCCCACAATTTGTACACATATTAAGAGACAGTGACAGACTTCCAACATTCGCCAATACCAACTCTGACCACTGAGATCCATCTCAGCAACTTATTTTTTTTACTGCATTTAGTACAGGATCTACAGGGTCTCAGTACATAGATCAGATAACGATCCTCCATGGGGGCTGGTGAGATGGCTCAGTGGTCTAAAGCACCTACTTAGAACAAGTTTAGCAAAAACACAGGGACCGCGGTTCAATCCCCAGTACCACATGCCAGCCAGCCCCGCCCCCTGGTGGGCTGAGCTGGCCACACACACACATAAATAAATAAATAAAAATTAAAAAAAAAAAAAAAAAAAGATAACGATCCTCCTATTTACAGCCTCCCAAGAGCTGGGGTTACAGATG